GCGAACATCTGCCAAGGTTTCCCCAGACTGACTGCGTCGATGAAGGATAAAACCTTGCAACAAAGGCTTGGTAACGTCTATCTCCACTCGAATCCATAAGAAACTCCTACCCAAGAAGAGCCCATCCGAAAGGGTCTCAACTGCAATCAGCTTACCTAGACGATTCCCAATGGTTTCCCCATGCTTTTTAGACATTTTATCCAGAGAGAGGCCATGAACCTGTACCCAGAAAGAGCACCAGCGGAACTCAAAGTTAGAGACAGCCATCCCAAGATGGAAAGGTAAAGAACCAAAAGATTCCCTATGACCGACCAAGGGGTTTCATCTAACATCTTGCACCGATCCTCACTCTCAGAAAATTGAAACAAGTACACGTTATCACCCCATGGTGAGATCTCCAACTGTGAGCGCGGCTTCCACACATTTTGGAAAATATTGGAGACGACTGTCCTGTTAAGGGTTTTAGGGGTGAGAATCTTCCCCACCAAACATAGCCCCGAAACAGCCTCACATTCATCACAACCTTCAGTGAGATCAAAAGTTTCCATCTGTAAAGCAAACCACCCAATCCAAAAGAGAAGCTCGAATCACACAAAACAGGGGTAGGAAGAAAGCAAAGAGGAACGAAGAAAAGAGAGAGGGAGAGAGACAAACAACACACTGGGAAACAAACTCTCGGACAAGAGGAAAAACTCTCATTTTAGAGAGAGAAGCTCTCATTATAAAGAGAGAAAAAGTATGTTTTTGCATCGTGTCATGTTAGATTTTATTTATGGGAAATTCTATTTGAACTTAAAATATGCCTTGGTATGTTCAATTTAAATTTATAAATTTTAATTCATAATATATTATAATATGAATTTACTAATAAAGACAAGACATATTAAATCTCAAAATATTTTTTTTTTTCTCATGGTACACTCTAATCAGTTATTCATATTCAAATCTCTATATTTTCTTCCCCAAGATATTAAGTTATTTCTTCTTCTTCTTCTTCTTCCTCCCTCCAAAACTACAATCCACCCTATCAAACTCACCATCATCATCAACATCATCATTTTTTTATTATTTTGAAACCTTAAACCCCTAGAGGAAAGTTTGAACAAAATCAAATAATGGATGAGAATAATAACCAAAATAGTTTTTGAAGCAACCCATCAAAAATGAGGTAAGTATTCATATAAAGAGGTTTCAGAATTTTTGTAGAGCACCACCAATTATTTTTTATATCATTTTTTTGACAAAATTAAAGAGCCCAATAATTAAATTAACAATAACATATTATTGGAGTTGTTCTTATTTTGTCATTTAAATAGTACATTATTTGAGAACTACTCTTTGTTGTTAGTGCTGATAGCTTATAAGTTTGATTTTTACTTTTTCACGAGCATTTTTGTGAATAATTTATAATGTAAAAGTTTTATTCTATATTGAAAAGTTTTATAATACTCATGCAAAATTTTGATTTTTTCTATATTTATAATGCTTATGTGCTTATAAGTTTGATTTTTTTTTTATATTTGAGAATTATTTTCTGTATTAAAAAGATTTGAAATAATTTAGTTTTTTTTAGTTTGTTTATTATTTATTATTTGAATTTACCTCGAGGGTGATTTGGGAAAAATAATAGGGTGTAATGAGAGTAAAATAAAATTTTAAATAATTAAACATGGTATATTTAGAAATTGAGAGTACTTAATGATTTTTTGGATGTAAATACAATCCCCCGTATTTATGTTGTGTCCTTTCGGATTCATATTACTATATTAGAATTAACTCAACACTAGCTTGGCCCATTTATTATTTTGTGTCATGTGTCATTTTCGATTTGTGTCTGATTCATATCGTGTTAATAGATTATGTCAAAAAATTTCACTATTAACAAAAAATATTCAAATATATTGAATTTTTTTTTCAAAAGTTAAATTTAATGAAACTAATCTCTATTAAATGAAATTATTTATAAAAATATTTGATTCCAACTTAATTTTATTTTCTTAATTTATAAAAATTATATTTTATTATTATATTGTTACTAGATTAACTCAAAAAAATAGATAAATACATTAAATTCAATTAAAAGCAAAAGAAACACTTATATTAAATTTAAAATCATATTTTATATACTTTTTAATAAATTGGATGTAATTACGTAAGAGATTAAAAAATGTTATGATACTCTGTAATGGAAATAATATTAAAAAAGTATAATTAATTTTTCATTATACGGGTTATCTGTGTCAATTTCGTGTTATGCAGATTTGATACTAACTCGACACGTTTAATATTCGTATTATCAAGTCGTGTCATATAAATACCTAAAAATTTTGAAAACACCATCATTTTTTAAAATATATTTTTTCATTATTGTATGAAAAAAGATTTAGAAAATTCAAAAATAATATTTTTGTTTTTTTTTAAAAGTGAGTTGTTTTTCGAAAACAAAACTAATTTTGAAAAAAAAAAATCAGAAAGTAAAAACAAAAACAAAAAAATAATAAAAGCGATACTAAAACAAGAACTGGATAGGGTTGAATTGAGTGGGCTAAATAGCCGAAGCTGACAAATAGAGGCCCATCTAATTTGGGCCCTCGTGGCCAACCTGATTCTAAATACTTGCCGATGTGGATCGGACTCAAAAACGCTTTAGAGTTAGTTGATAGGCAGCTCGTTTCTTAAATTTTTTTTATATGAAGTGAGTTTATTTTATTTTTTTTTTATAAAAACAAAAAAAAAACCAAAAATTTCACATTTAAAGAATTAATTTAATTTCATCATTTTTTCTAACAATATTTTATTTATCATCTACCATAATTATATTATTTTTGTAATAAATTTCACTATTTATATATGTTATCAATGCAGTGGTATTTTGAGAAGTTGGTAAAAAACTGACTTTTTGACTTTTTTTGTGTTTAAAAAATTGACTTTTTGTATTTTTTTTTATAACTTTTTTGTGTAAAAAAACTAAAAGTCAAAAAGTAAACTTTTTTAGTTCCCACAACACCCCGTAGTAATGATATATTACATAATAAATAAAACATAATTAAAAAAATACAACCTCATATCATTATCCACCTAGATGGAAGACTAAACCTACTCATTTAAATACTTGATTTAGAAGGAAAACAAAACTTAAAGTTTTTGTTCTTTGATTAAGAAATAAATATCGACATTCACAGGATGAAAAATACCCACCACAATTAGTTGCTTAGAGTTAATTTTCAAACCACCTCCATTACTAATTTGCTTTGATAACCCATTGCCTTTTTATTTTTCTTTTTTTGTCATTTTTCTCAACCCTACTTCCACTAAAGTTAGGGACAAAATGGATCCAAATCCTCTTAATTTCATGGACGAAAAAATGATTTCTATTTCATTGAATTTTTGTTTAAATTTAGAAAAAATTAAGAAAAGTTTTAAAACTTGTAATAATATGATAATTATAAACAGTTGATTAAGACTTTGATGAGGTGTTACAACATCAACTAAAGTAAAGATCTCGTAATATACTCTTCTCCAAACAAATTTTTTAAAAAATCAAAATTATTAAAATAGAAAAAGTTCACCATGTGCTTACATCAGCCCTACAGTAATGGGATGAAGGTGCACATGTCCTACACTGGAGATAAATTCGCACTTCAAAACAAAAAAGATTTCACGGGCAAATATACTGAACATAAAAAAGTCCACCAGCAAAACAACTCTAGGAAACAGAAGAGAAACACACCTCCTGTTCTTCTGTTTCCTCAACAAATAAAATATCAAACAGCAATCTTGTCCCTTTGCACAACCATGCCATTGCCAACCTGTATCATCCCAACCCATCCCCCCAATATTTATCTCTCCATCCACCACTCATCATTCAGTATTCTCATAGTATCAACTTAGCAGGTTGATGTAGTACTTCCAAATCAGTAAGAACACTGGTAATAACGTTGTGTTTGGTTGGGGAATTGGGAGAGAGATTTGGAAAAGAAAAGGGAAAAAGTGTGTAAAACTAGGTGAAATATAAATATATTTTATTCAAATTGCACCTATCTTTTTCATTTTTCTTTTCAAATTCCTTCTCAAATCTCGCAACCAAACACAGCATAAGTGAGTGAATCCGACTTGACTCACTTTCGTCAGTTGGATAAGAGTCAAGATGGGCTCCTTCCATAACTAACCATCCCCTCTTAAGCTTCAATCATCACTACTTACTCTCATTTGCCTTCATTTCTCAATTTTCCCTTGTCTCCAAACACATTTATTACAGTTGCTTTACTAAAAGAGAGCATTCATTTCACTATCATTTAATGGCTTCCACATGGTCGCAGTTGGTCATGGTTATAGTAGTTCTCATGTGGATGGGCTGCACTTCATCTCACTCTCAGTTAAGCTTCCCAACCTCTACCATTTCAGCTGCACCTTCATTTCTTCCAACCTCATTTTCTCCAACCTTATCTCCAGACATCACTCCTCTCTTCCCTTCTTCTCTGCTGCTGCTGCACCTTCTCCCTCTGAATCCTCAATCCCAACCATTCCTTCCAGCCCAAGCCCTCCCAATCCCGACCAAACACTCGCTCCAGAGCCAACCATGGACAGATTCCCATCCGTGTCTTTACCAGATCCCGGGCCTTCCCTATCTTCCTCCTCAATTGTTCTAGCCTTGTCCCAATCTATCAGATCAGTCATGTTTCTTGGTTTTACGGCGTTTTGGTTAATGCAGTTTTATGGGCTGTGAGACATTCTGGTTAATGCAGCTCCAATTATTGTATGGTTCCACTTTCTCTCTCCCTATTTGTAGATTTATTAATTGATCTGTTTATTTTTCGTTAGTATGTTAATCTTATGATTCGAGGTGTGTATCATTGTCCTAACTAGTAATATATGGTATGTCTCAAGAAAAATAAACTGCTTTTTTTAGCCTGGAAGAGTTGATTGTATGTTCATTTGATTTATCAGTTTTATGTTATGATTTTCTTCTTCCACTATAAAATTCCCGTTAAAAGGAAGACTAAAATAAGGCATATCAGAATTGAAAGAAAATTACTAAAGAGTAAATTACTAAGTTTAATCATATACATGTACTGATGAACCATGTTCTATCGGTTAGTTTGCTAACATGTCACCTACATAAAGGGAGCAACAGACATCCTAACCTCGTGATTTTGGAGACTTATTGAAGAACTTCCCCAGAAACATTCCCTTCAATTTATCGAACTCAGAGAGGCTCTGTTTCTTGGGGGATTCTTTGGCAATAAACTTCCTTAGATTCATATTCTCATCCTTAAGCGCGTCCGTGGCTAGACTGAGCTGTCTTATGACCTCTCTTTTCTCTTCATCTTTCTCCGCTAGTTGTTCCTTTTGAATCTTGTTCTCCTCTTCAAGTCTCTCAATTTCTTCCCTAAGCTTCACAACCTCATCATTGACAACCTTGCTTGAAACTTCTTCTTCCTCTATTTCTTTGTCAGTTTGATATTTTTCTTCTTCGGGGTCATCTACCTCAGACTTGTTCTCCTCTTTGAGTCTCTTAATTTCTTGCCTAAGCTTCATAACCTCATCATTGACGACCTCGCTTGAAACTTCGTCTTTCTCCATTTCTTTGTCAATTTGATATTTTTCTTCTTCAGGGTCATCAACCTCAGACTCACCAGATTCTACAGGGTCATCAACCTCAGACTCACCAGATTCTACGGGGTCATCAATCTCAGAGTAGCTATCATAGGATTTATCAGTGCAGGTCATCGACTTCTCTTGTCGATATTTGGAAGACAATGGGGATGCCCATGGTGTAATGAGACGAAATCCAGTATCAGACTTGGCTTGATCATATCTCTCTGCTAATAAACGATGAGCCCGATAAAAATCCTCAACCATGCTAATGAGCTCTGGCCGCTTCTTGTAATACATCTCTGCACGTTGGGCAAAGGAATCTGCATCTTCCTCAATTATCCTTAGCATAGCCTTGGTCTTCTCATCTAGCTCTGTGTAGTATCAATACAGAAAATCCATAATACTACTATTAGAAGTAAATTAATTAATCCCTGAAAATTTCTCGTAGTGTGAGGTAAAACGAACAGAAATACAAATTCAGAGAATGGGTATTTTTAGTTTGAAATTTGAACACTGCAGGGCTAACTAAAATTTTTGAGTTCACCACATACATCTTTTAGGGTCCCCCCAGAGTTCAGGCTATTGATTAACTTTTTTATTGTCATTGCCAATTTGCAATAGGTCAATCTATAAATTCTCATGTCACAAAGCATAGTAAGGACATGGGTCCACTGAAAGAATAATCTCAATGAATTAATTATAGGATCCCATGCAGGAAATAGAATTAAAAGAAACCTTGGCCCTTTTTGTTTTTCTTTTTTCAAAAAAAAAAATACATACTTTTTGTGCTTAAGATATCTACTTTTAACTATTCCAATGAGGTCCACTAAATTATTAGGCTATGAAAGATTACTTTTAGCTTTAGGAGGTTAAAACTGGATGAATAGAGAACATATAATAGACATTCCTAAAAGATAATCATATGGAAAATTGGATGGTATCTATGAAACTCAAAGGCCCTTTACATTGAGGGACCATTTAATCATTGTACCAGTTACCAAGTGGCTCCACTATGCCACCAAGCACAACATCAAAGAACTAACTGTTTACCATCTCTAGTAACCAATACAAAGAAGATAAGATGGAGAGAGAACATGAGGTACAGTAGACTCCCAATTCATCTCCCAAACCCCATATTCTCCTAGTCCATCAGTTTACAATATCAGCAGTCCCCTCCACCACACATTCTCTCCCATTGCTCTTGTTCATATTGACCCCTCGTTTTAACAATGAAACAATGTGTTGGTGGTGGCACCCAGAATCAGATGTGTATCTCTTCCCTCAATTTATGTTACATGCACTCTTTTAACAACCATTTCATGCTAGAAAATAAAATCAGTGTACTAAGAAATATGAAAAAATTTCTTTCTCCCTGTGTCCTTAATCATGAGATTAGATGAATCGGACCCTACACACATACATACCTACACCCGACACCCTGTACCCGAGTCTGTGTAACATGTCCCTCAATTGAAAAATGGTGTTCAATCCAAGAGATACCACTTATTGTAGTACTGGACCACCTCATGGATTGGTTCTTCCTAAAATACAGTTTGAAAACTTTTGAACCCTTTGCTCACTTCATACCAAGGACCACTTCGACTGTAGATGATAGTTGCTATTCCTTACTAAATTTTCAGCCAATGCTAAGAATTGAATTTTTTTAGCCCCACCACCTCTTTGTGGGGTTATCCTTCATGCACCAAATTTTAAAAAAAAAATTTGCTATGACATAGGAAGTATTATGTGATACAATGTGGACAGACTCAGTAATAAACCAATTAGTCAATCAATTTTTTGATGACCTGGCCCAATTTACGTGCACTTCGACTAATCCTGAGACCCACGCAAAATGGCCTCCACATGGATCAAGCAAATCTCGAACAGCGCCCTAGACGTGACACTAAGGAGTTCATAGTATCTAATAAGAGTTGAACCTGAACCCCAGATCCTAAGTTGCACCCACTAGGCCACCCTCTTGATTAATTAGTCAATCAATTAACCTAACTTATCTTCCCAATTTCGCACAAACTAAGATGAGCCTTCCTCTGCTTTTTTTTTTTTTTTTGAATTTCAACATGAGCAATATTTCTTCATCTATAAACTTTTTCTTTCCTAAGGTTCTAGTATCCAAAAGCTTTTCCTTGAAAAAAAATGGCTAAACATCCATTATTCATTTCAATTACATTATTATGGTTTATTTTAAAAATTATGTTTCAATGTCATGACTACTACCAAGATTGAGTCTTTAGGTTAAAGACTAGACATTCAAGAATTGGTATAGTATAGGACATACATACAACAGTTTAATAAATTTCAAATTCCACAGATAAATAGAGACAGTCGGTACCTGCAAGGGTGGAGCGAAGCCATCGAGAGCGTCTTGGGGTGGTGTCGATGTTGGTGCCGTTGTCGCTGTCCACCCACCACCAGTGCGACGATTCCTTCGTCGTCTTCACCTCCCCCATTCTCTCTCTCTCTCTCTCTCACTGTGTGTGTGAAGTGTTTGGAATTTAAAAACTTGATCATCGCAGGCCTCGAGTTTCGAAATTGTCATTACTCAAACCTCATCCTATCACAACCTGCCACGTCTTTCTAGAACCCCTCACCCCCAAGTTTAAATCTCCAAGGCTACTTGGCATTTTTCGGCTTATAATTTAAAAAACTTCCAATTTTACCATATTACCCCCCTGATGAAGCATTCATTTTATTGCTTAAGCAAGTCATACTGCAGGCGTAAAAAATATTTTTTTAACAATTTATACTATATCAGATTATACAATGTGGTGTTTTAAAAGTTGATAAAAAATTAATTTTTGATTTTTTTAGTTAAAAAAATTAATTTTTTGGATAATAACTTAAATAAAAAGGTTAAAAATTAATTTTTTACTAGCTGTCCAAAGTGAGCCAATGTTTTAAAACTAGTCTTGATTTTGACTTTTTAATAAAGAAAAGAATAATGTTTTAGAGTACTAAATTGGGAGCTCTAGAGCATCACACAATGGCCCCCACCAAAGTGATGTGATGTTTTGGCTTGAGTTTGTTTTTTTTTTTTTTAAGCTCATTAGAGCTATTAGTGGTCCAAAAATTAATGGGATGAATCACCACTCTAAAAAAAATGCTTTAGACCTCTAAATTGTGAGCTCTAGAAGAGCTCTAACCTGTGAGTCTCACTGTGTGATTTGATATTTTTACCTTTTTTTTTTTTTTTTTTTTAAGATTACCACGTCTTTAGTGTTCTCATTAAAACTCTATTATTAAAGTTCTTAATCACCCTCTTTTAATAAATATTTTTACAAGTCAAATTTATAAAGCCTATTGGATACAGCGGCCGGAGTTTGAGGGGCATTTCCGGAATATGGTTTAACTTAAGGGGCTTTGGTGTCACAATACCGCACTCAAAAGTCAAAGGGAGCGTCCACAACTACGTGGCCCAAAGAGAGAATGACTGCAATTGGTACGTTTTAGCTTAAAGTCAAAAAAATTATTAAAAAAATAAAGTAGCGTTCAGCGGAGATTTCTAATTATGATTTAAAAATAAGATTTACATTTTAAAATTATGATTTAAGTGTGAAAAATTTATTTGGTAAAAAAATTTTGAATTCGGTAAAAAAAATTTGATGTAATATATAATATTTAATACAAAAACTTACAACTCATAATCAAACACACAACTCAAAATTCTATTAAAGCTCATAAAAAATTTAAAAAAATTCAGAAAATATTTTTTGTTAAATATATAAAAATTAACATGTGTCAAAAAAAATTCGTTGTTCCGGTCAACCGGCAAGACGACCGGTGGGACAACCGGTTAGTCCAAATTTTTTTATTTTTGATCGAGTTTTCAAAAGTGTACGTAAAATTAATTTTTGAAAGCTAAAAACAAACACCATAGGCAAATCAAAGGGTAGAATTAAAGTTTCAAAACCCTTCCAAACACAGCCTAAAAAGTCAATAATTTATATTAAAAAGTTTTTTAAAAAAAAATTCTTACTTTTTGTGTATCTTTTTATAAAAAATAAAAATAAAAAAAACATTTTAAAGCCTCGTTTGAAAACAGACTAATTTAGTAACTTTGTGACTATTTGGCTAAAATATGAACTAAAAAAAACTATATGTTTAGAATGAATTTTTGACTTTTTATGAAAAGATATGCAAAAAGTATAGAAAAAAAAAAAATCTTTGACTTTTTAGTATGAGTTACTAGCTGTTTGGCTAATTAAGTAACTTTTTATTTTTTTTTTTTTTTTTTTTTTTAAGATTACCACGTCTTTAGTGTTCTCATTAAAACTCTATTATTAAAGTTCTTAATCACCCTCTTTTAATAAATATTTTTACAAGTCAAATTTATAAAGCCTATTGGATACAGCGGCCGGAGTTTGAGGGGCATTTCCGGAATACGGTTTAACTTAAGGGGCTTTGGTGTCACAATACCGCACTCAAAAGTCAAAGGGAGCGTCCACAACTACGTGGCCCAAAGAGAGAATGACTGCAATTGGTACGTTTTAGCTTGAAGTCAAAAAAATTATTAAAAAAATCAACAATGATTCATTCCTCTTTTCCCCCGTCAAAGATCCTCTAGAGTGAAGTTTTCCTAAAGTTTCCTAGAGTGCTATATTGTGTGGTTGAGATTTACTGGCAAGTCACATCAGAAAAATTGAGGTGACTTGTCAGTAAATCTCAACCACACAATGTAGCACTCTAGGAAACTTTAGGAAAAAATCACTCTAGAGGATCCTTGCTCTCCCCCCACCCCTTTGACCCCCTCTCTCTCTCATTGGTTACATTTTCTTTTTCTTTTTTTATTTTTTCCTGCTCCTCCAATCACCACCCGCTACGTGACAAAGGGGGTGAGGGGGTGACCTCCAAAAGGGGGTCCCAAGCATTATTCTAAAAAAAATTAAAGTAGCGTTCAGCGGAGATTTCTAATTATGATTTAAAAATAAGATTTGCATTTTAAAATTATGATTTGAGTGTAAAAAATTTATATGGTAAAAGAATTTTGAATTCGGTAAAAAAAATTTGATGTAATATATAATATTTAATACAAAAACTTACAACTCATAATCAAACACACAACTCAAAATTCTATTAAAGCTCATAAAAAATTTTAAAAAATTCAGAAAATATTTTTTGTTGAATATATAAAAATTAACATGTGTCAAAAAAAAATTCGTTGTTCCGGTCAACCGGCAAGACGACCGGTGGGACAATCAGTTAGTCCAAATTTTCTCATTTTTGATCGAGTTTTCAAAAGTGTACGTAAAATTAATTTTTGAAAGCTAAAAACAAATACCATAGGCAAATCAAAGGGTAGAATTAAAGTTTCAAAACCCTTCCAAACATAGCCTAAAAAGTCAATAATTTATATTAAAAAGTTTTTTAAAAAAAAATTCTTACTTTTTGTGTATCTTTTTATAAAAAATAAAAATAAAAAAAACATTTTAAAGCCTCGTTTGAAAACAGACTAATTTAGTAACTTTGTGACTATTTGGCTAAAATATGAACTAAAAAAAACTATATGTTTAGGATGAATTTTTGACTTTTTATAAAAAGATATGCAAAAAGTATAGAAAAAAGAGAATGTTTGACTTTTTGGTATGGATTACTAGCTGTTTGGCTAATTAAGTAACTTTTTATTTTTTAACTAAAATAGAAGGTTCCCAAACGAAACCTAAGTATACTAATTTTTACATTATATTTTAATCAAAAAAATTACTAAAAAAATATATTTAACGAGGCCTAAGTCAACTGGTGTATTTAATTAACTAATCCAAAAACTATATATTTAGGGTTTTTTGGGCTCAATTTCACCTGTTGATTCCAATATATATAGTTGTGTTTTCAATTCACGAACAAAACTCCCTGAAACTATAACTAATATACTTCACATATAATTTGTCATAAAAAATAAAAATAAAAAACACTTTCCCAACCAAAATTGTTCTTGTTTTCCATTTTTCAGAAATAAAAAAAATTCAAAAACACCTACCATTTTCGTTTTTGTACGATAACACACAATGCACTAGTCACAAGAGTGAGATGACACAGAATTATCATGTCTACTTGTGTGCCTTGCAATCATCGTAGTCGTAGGAACAAATAATGTACAAGATCACTGCAGGAAAACAGCAGACTGAGGGGCTCTAAATTGCAAGGAAATAGCAAGCAAATAATGAGAACATTTTAAAAATGATCTAATAATGCATTTAATTACTCAGCTTCCATTGTAACTACAAAAACATGAAGACATAATTCGAACCCTACCACACCTACACGAGTCAATTTGATTTATATGAAGTTTGTTTATATATGTACATTAAGTGCAGTATCGTAATTGCAAAGCACCCACATAAAACTGTCTTCGTTAGAATATAATCCAAACTGAAACAAAACTTGAAACGTGGACGAGTAGGCTTAGCTTCCTTACTTTTTTACTTATGCTGTATTTGGTTGGGAGATTTAAGAAGAGATTTGGAAAGAGAAAGGGAAAAGATGTGTAAAACTATGTGAAATATAGGCATAATTTATTCACATTTCACCTACCTTTTTCATTTTCTTTTCCAAATCCCTCCCCAAATCTCCCATCCAAACACAGCATTAATGCAATTCATAAGCACTCCTTTCTATTGGTGTGCCAGGAATAACCGGCACAAATCCCCTCCCACCAAACATAGGGCGCATAAAAGAATCATCGAACTTTCTCCAGTAATAGTGGACGGTGTTAGTCGGGGTGCTTAGGAGCATGCGTAGACTGGTTGGACGGGGTACATCATGGTTACCTGCGTCAGCCTCTGGATCTTGCTTGTTGCCAAGAAGTGGCAATGTCAAGGATTTTGGACTAGACGGTTCGGAGGATATCATGTTGCTTGAGTGTGTTGGAGGCAGCAAAAACCTTACAAGAGGCTTCGTCAGCATTCCAAACACCTTAAGAGAGAGAGATCAGCAACAAATACCACTATCAGTCAATTGGAAGGGGGAAAAAATGGAACAGTAGGTTTTCATTTTGCCACATGCATGCTGTTTGATAATAGCAAACACATCAAGTATAGAAGCATAAATAGTCAGGAGAGGTCCAAAAATTCATAGGTTTCGTACAGATGAAAGGCAAAACCTAGGCATATCTAATGACTGAACTATGCAATGCAACGTATGACAAAACTATGTTATGGACCTCCCAAGGGTGGTACGACAAAAAGAATGCGAGATTTTCATTATCAAACAGCTATAATGAGATGATGACTTAGAGAGAATGGAGCACTGAGAAGGACCACACAAACTAAAAACACAGTAAGTTTTAAAGGAGGGCCTTCATTTTAATAATAAAAAATAAATAAATTATATAACTTTTGACCCAAAGGACATACCAGTGTACTGAAAAGAACAATAGTGATGGTGCTGGTGATCAAGACTGCATTTGCTGGCAGTTGAGTATGGCCGGACCTCGTAAACTGCATGTGCAGTAGAATTAAGTTTCAACGTGCAATATCACACCACCACAACAATACATAGACATGGCAATTATTCATTACATATTCTAAAACCAAAACAAGAACATTCCCACCCAGAGAATACATTCAATGAAACCAATTGATGCAAACAACTATAGTTATAGATGCATACACTCGTGTCACCTGGCTACAATTACATCACAAAAAAAATCAGAAGTCCAGAACTTTTTTCGTGCAATTTTTCCCACATCTCTTAACTAGGTCTCTAACTCTCTATTGCGTACAAGTAAGGACTTTTGGTGTGTCCAACATTTGAAATCAGAAAAGTATGATGCCACCTTTCTTCTAGGTATGCAGTACAGAGAGATTGGGCTTCCCAACTTTTCCATGATATGAGCCTTGTTTGGTTTGTATCTAGAGATCCAATTTTTGAGAAAAAATATCAAAAATTTGTTTGGTTAAATTATTTTTTCAAAAAAAATTCAAAATCATTTTTCTCTCTACTACACATCAATCAAATATTTTTTCTCTCACACCCATCTATTCAATTACAGATAAAAAATAAATAAAATAAAATCATTTCAAATTTCAAAACTCCAAAACTAATCTTAAAACATATAACCGAACAAATTTTGTAAACTCTTTCTAGAAAATTATTTTACAAATACAAACCAAACATGGCTATGATCTTCTTGTCAATTTTTCTTGTTTTTATTTTATTGATTCGAAGAGGTGCGGGCCAGCTAAATATGGCCATGAATAAGGATATTCTTACGATCGTTGTCCAAAATGTTCTACGTTGTTAAAGAACATAAACTCTGCACCTTACTAGGCATAAAGTGTTTGATCTTCCATCCTATAAATGCTTTATCTAGACCTGCATTGTAACCTATTGAACAGTTCACATTTTACCTAATTATAAGCAAGCACGCCATGTAGACAGCAAGTTAGCATTTTTTACCTGACTATAAGCAAGCGCCATAGACACAGACCCACGTATTAGACCAGCCCACCAAATTGTAACCTGTATAGTAATCCATTTCTCAGTTTTTTATGGGACAGCAGTTCAGGAAGACTGAAAACCTTAAAGTAAATCTGAAACCACTTACTTGCTGCCTGAAATCAATCTTCTCAGTATTAGAATTCTTGCTTAAGTTGATTAAGAAAGATAGCGGGAAGACAAAAGCTGCTCTTCCAACCAGAACCAGGCCAAACAGTACTGAACTCACGCTAATTGATTTTCCAGGGCTGAATAAATTGGAAGGATATGCAAATTAATAAGGTAAAAACATAGCAATCTGAAGGAAAGAATGGGGCACTGCATAGATTATTTTGAAACTGTCTCATGTAGATTCATAGACCTTACCTATCACTTACAAATCTCCATTTCTCAATGTCCAGGGCATCCATACCAACATAAAGAAAGATGAGGATCTCACAAACGAATGACAATGTTGCAAAACCATGCCTACAAAAATATAAATGGAACAAAAAATGTGGTAACATGACTGCTTAATCCCTTGTCCAGGGATTGAAATATTATATGCAAAATAGGGAACTCAAGCTTTTGAGAAGGTATGCCTGATAATTTTACATACTTGGTAGTTACTCTTGAACTTTCCGTCACATTATGCCAGGTGTAGTGTGACATGACAATCCCGCAAAAGAATACAGTAATAATCCCACTCAAGTCAAATAGCTGGAATACAAAGAAAAACAATCAACAAAAGTGCAACAATGTATGGATTCAATGAAAATACAGTAATTCATTGAAAAGTAAATACTAATGACCATAAAGTGATTAAAAGGCTAGACAAAACTTACATCAGCCATCACATATGAAAGGTAAGCCATGAGAGCCATAAGAGCGACTTCACGATCCGTAGAGTGCCTGAAATTTGAGCATGTAACAGCTATTAAAGTTATTCATAGTTTCTTACAGAAGTGTGGAAATGCATGCACATTTTAGCTACCATAATTTTTTTAGGAAAGATACCTTTTACGCCTTATTTCTTCTCCAAGATAAAAAATTCATCTCCTACTTTAAGCAAACAAGATATCTAATGTAGTTTTATGTGTGATTTCTCCAACGTTCTCAATTGTTATACATGAGAAATTCACAAGTTATACAAGATATTTCCATTTTGTGAACATAAAACCTGAATGCATATCATATAGTTCAAGAATTCACAAATAAACTGAAAACCACTGAGCAATTCCCATTTGATTTTCAAAAAATTTTGTGCCACTGATCCTCAATTGTTCTAAAATTTAAATTATCTATAAATTCTACATATGCAAAATAAGGGTTTGCAAGTGGAAACACAAGTGTCACAACAACTCATAAACCCATAAAGGAGCAAGCCAATCAATGAAATTGGCGTGGTCAAACTGATCTGTAGTTAAATTTCCTTATGCTGCACTGCTAAGATGACAGCAGAACATTCCAACCTGAAACTGTTATGAGATTTTGAGTTCCATTGTTATTTCTCATAATTATGATATATTCATTCATTTGGTCACTCGCATAATAATAATGCAGAAGCACTTGCCTCTGGAGACTCAATTAAATTAATAAGTAAAGCGAAAATGAAAACATGATTTCCCAGTGGAACAAAATGAGGCAAATCAAAAGACCAGCATTTACATACCTGCCAAAGTACAACTTTTTGATAACATATGCACAGAGTAATCCAATCTGCAAGAACAAGTAAAATGGCTTACAGATTTGCACAAATATTTTCTTTTTGTCAGCAAGAGACAACTCACAAGCAGCATACATTAAGTTTTGATTGGAGGCAGCAGAAGCCATGACAGCTTTAAGAGCACATCTATGAGGCCCAAAGAAAACTTTTTCCGGGGGCGTATGCAGTCACAAACCACTCTAATAAGCTAAGAGTGCGTTTGGATTAAAGGGTTTAGAATTCTAGAGAGATTTGAAATAATGATTCAAAATCATATAATTTAAAATCCAAAAAACTCTTCTTTGAACTAGTTCCATATATCTGGATATTTGCCTACTTTCAGTCGAACAGAAAGAATTACAACATAAGACAGTATTATTAAAAATTAATGGAAAGGAAATATTCTAGAATCATGTAAGAAGGATAGTCATAATTTTGATGAACTAAAAAGAAAAGGAGAAAAACAAAAAAATATGAAGAGAATATGTAAATACGAGTGCTTTGGTACACTGGGGAGGTCAATTGTTACTAAGCTTTCAATTCTTTTGTCATAAGAATATGAAAAATATCACCGACTTGAGAAGATTTTGTCCATGTATTTGGGAAGCTAAAATAGGCCTTAAACCCTCGGGAGAATTTAGAAACAAACTTAATTTTTATGCTAATAGAAACTCTTGAAACTGAGTGTTTTAAAACTCTTTTGGCCCAAAATTATGAGAGACAGAGACAAAGAGAGACTTACTAAAATCCCTAGCAACGTGCTTGTGATAAATAAAGTGAAAAAATTGCCTAGAAACTGCAAGAACATGAGTGAGTCCGCCTGAGAGATGTCAAATTTCTGGATTGCATTGAAAAGTACCACAGATGTGGCATCATTTACTACTCCTTCGCCGAAGACTAGACTGTACAGTAAGGGTGTCTCATCCTGATTAAGCACCTGCCATTAGACAAAACTTCAGTCACAAATTCATATCTGTTTCCTTTTTAGAGAAAGAAACACAGACTTGAAAAGACATTTATACCTGCAAGGTGCAAACTGAATCAGTTGCTGACAAGATTGCACCAATTGCTGCAAGCATTGAAGTTTACACTTAAAAAAGTCCAGAGATAAAGAAATTGTACAAGGGAATCAGTCATAAAACACTAGATATTGAACTTTTCATTATTCTTTATGTTTTAAATAGATTAAGAGGCTGTAGATTTGTTGCTGCGCCAACTACAAGCAAAACACTATGAATCACAAGAATTTCAACCATAAACTACCCAACAAAAAATAGAAGTTCGTTACATGACCCACCAATAGCATAACTCCAGTTTCCCATATAAAAGGTGCACTTTTTTTTTTTTATTTATATATATATATAAGGTGCGGTAAATATAAGAAGGCACAATTTCTTAAACTTCAGATAAAGTGGGGTTCATTGCAGCACAAATCACAGTTTTGAAAACGGTTGTTTTGTTGGTATCAATCATAGAAGTGTAGAAACTCCAATTTCCCATATAATGGCGTTGTTTATAGGATGCACAATTCTATTTTATTTTTAAATCAGATCAGCTGGTTCATCGCAGCACAAATTGCCGTTTTGAAAGCAGTGGTAAGAATTGGGGTCAGTCATAGAAGTGAGGAACTCAAATATGAGTATTGATAGTAATGCCAACAATGGCAATGAAAATGGCACTACAGAGCATTAAGAAGAATAGCTACAATAGGAACAATCATAATTTATAACAATCAGAAAAAAAACTGTAACAACAATGGTCATGGAAGTAGCAGAGTGAGCATACCAAGAGAATCACCCATCTCCAGGAAACCAATATTCAGATGTTTGAATAATTGTGAGGCACCTGGATCGAGATTCACAAGTTATGAGTGTGATAAATAAATAAAAAAATCATATAACAGAATTGAATTTGTAATATAGGTTCCAAAAGAGTCAACCATACATAAAGCCAATGAATTCAAAGAACATGAACATCACCACAGGACAGATAAAAGTTTGAGAAACCCCAAGACTATGCATGAGCAAGACAAGCCTATCAACTTAGTTCAACAAGCCCTTGTACCAATTACTTGGGTCGACTACATGGATCCATTTCCTCCAATTGATTGTATTCCCAATCATATCCTCAGCTAAGTTTAAGATAATTATGTTATTTCTTATCACATCAACCCAAGTTCTCCTAGACTTTCCTTTATTTCTTTTACCACCCTCCATGTGGATTAAATCACTCCTCCTTACAAGTGCGTTAATTGGTCTAAAATGCTCTTCAGTTAGTGACACTTCCAATTTTTCCTAAGGGAAACTTTTTTTAATTTTTCTTTTCTTGTAACATCACTCATCCATCTCAACGTACTCATTTCAGCCAAACTCATTTTCTAAACATATTTTTTCTTAACTACCTAACATTCAGATTTATACATCATGGCAGGTCTTATGAAAGTACTATAAAAATTTCCTCCTACTTAATAGAAATACAAAAATCACATAACACTCTTGATGCACTCCATTTCATCCATCGCGTGCCTAATTCTGTAGGTTGTATCCTCTTCAATTTCTCCATCCTTACAAATAGTTTAACAAAGATATCGAAAAATGATCACTCTTAGATATATCATGTCCATCAAGTTTTACTCAACCTTCACCCTTATTTCTAGGGTTGCTTAAGCTACACTTTATATATTATGTCTTAAACTTATTTAACCTACACCCTTTAGATTCTAAAGTAACTCTCCACAATTCCAGCTTAGACTTTGCTCTTTCTCTTGTTCATCACCTATAACTATATTGTCTAAAAATAACATACCCCAAGTTTTGGGTGTTAAAGGGGTGGTTTAGTAAGTTAATGACAGAGTTAACTCAAAAAAAAATACAGACTACGACCGAGTCAAATGTTGGAATAACAGTAAAAATAAAGAGCAAAATAGTCATTTTGTTATATCCTTTAAGATATGTCAAGTGATAACTTTGTTAGGGGAAACTGTTATTCTAAAAACTTGATGGATTGTCCCAGTATTTGTCTGAAGCCTGAGGGGGGGTGCAGTAATTTGCCCCTTTTTTTATTCTTGTCCAAGTATTTTGTGGTTGCATACGGGTAGCATGCCATATGATGCCATTCAATAAACTTAACTTATCAAATAAAGAACAAAAAAAAAAAATCATGCAAGATAATATACAAGGTCATTTTCCATATAACATAAGTGTGTAGTACTCTGTACAACTAAAAGCAAAAATGAAGCTCCTCAAACATACCAATTGAAATGGTAATGAAAGATACCACTGTACCAACAGCACCAAACAACATGATATTCATAAAGTTCCGAAAAAATTGCTTCTTTTTCACTTGAAACCTGGTGAGAGTAAGAGTCAAAACATCAGATTCATAATGCCAGATGTTCAGAATGCGGATCACCAAATTGCCTAGCATGCACACATGTACGAGTACAAAAAGAATTAAGCTTTAAGCAACTAAGAGGTGCCTATATATAAGGAGGAAAAGGTAGTTGTAAACTACAAGTATTCTGAAATAAGCCATACCAAAATCCATTGGGGGGAAAGAAGTTCCAAGGGTATCAATACTCTGTAGTACTAGAGGTCCTAGTAAAAACTGTTGTGCACCATGTATTTTTGGTATACAACTTTGTCATGACATCATGAAATGTGCACTTGAAAAAGTGAAAATGAGACATACTGAAGTGCCAGTAATAGGTCCAATATGGTGTACATAAGGAAGAGACGTGTTTGAAAAATCTTTTATTTTAGCAATAAATTTATTTTGAAATTTTTGTTTTCAGTGCAACATGTTTTTGGCACATTTCTCATACTTTTTAGCATCCAAATTTGGCCTCAACACAAATTTGCAATTTGTGGTAAATTTCAGTTTTCTTTTATTCATATCGTATGTTACAAGGAATCAGTCTACCTGTTTGTTTACTGATTAGATTAGGTCTTCTCTGTTATAAATAAAGTTGTGAGCTTTAAGGCAAAGGCTGTTTTCATTAATAATATTCCATTTTTCTCCTGTGAGAATATCTTCTCTTTCTAGTGGATTCCAGTATTATTGGATATTGATATTAGAATGAAAGGCAGTATCTTTTTTTCCCTTAAATTTTTAAACCCTTCCACCCTTTCTACTCTCCCCTCTACCAAATGGAGCTATAATTTATTTAGCTGATACATACTAGAGTCCAAGCAATTTGAGCAATTAAAGTTCCTCAAAATTGCAGTTGTATCAATACTCTCTTCTTTTTTCTTTGTGGTTACTTTTTGAGATCAGGGGTTGGGGGGAAAACAAAACTTGTAACTACTTCCTTGAGCTCAACTGCTCAAGGGAGATAATAGGACAAAACCTCCACCACGTATACTTCCACTTGTGGTTGTGTTTATTTTAAATGATCTCCAAATTTTTTTGACAACGTTTTGTTGGGTTGACTTCAGCAGAATTTCTCGTATTTGATCAAACTCCACCGAGCTGGATAACAATCTGAGTTATGACTACCTAGCTCAATCTTGACATGGGAAATCAACTCTAACTATGCAAACTACTTAATGTGCCTCAACTTGGAACTAATTTTGTTAATTATTTTTGGAACCTATAGTACTTAAAACCTTCTACCTTTCACAGGTAAAAATAGATACCACCGGCAAAGAAAATATGGTTAGTTGAACTAATTCCCAAGCTAGCATGACAACCAAGAGAATTCTCAAATTAGTGTAAGAACTATATGACCAAATAAACACCATTTGTAATAGTTTCCAAAAATATTGTGATTATGTGTGGCAGAGTTTATTTCAACAGGATAAATAAATAAATAAATAAATAAGGAAGATTATAAAATAGTAAGAAACTATTTTAACTGGTAAAATCAATACATATACCAATTTAAAAAATCAAAGAGAGACATTCATGAGGGATTAGACTTGCACAAACATTAAATAATCATATTACAGTTCAAGTTCACTCGATGAACAAATAATGTGAGGTGAAACCAAAACTTACCCAGCATTAAATATAATAGGTGGAAGAAGGTATATAAAGAAAAATTTCTCATCAAATTCTAAGATGCGCGAGTTTCTTCCCCCAGAAGTTAGTAGAATAAGGGTACCCGTGCCCAAGCCCTGCAATCAAGGTTTATCAAATCTCGCATTATGCCTTATTGCACTCCATAATCCAATATAAAATATGTAAAATCAAAACAGGTACAGTACAATATTAAGCAATTATCTGTGGGGACTCACAATGAGAACGGCTGTGATTGACTCATTAAACCATCGGTTTTTCTCAAGAAGATGGCCGATCACAATGCAAGCACAAATCAGAGCTACGAATAAGGTTACGGCATCTACTGTAACTTGATTAGCATCAGTCAAGTTCCCCAATTTCATGAAAACAGAACCCGCTCTTACACCCATCTTGCCAGTTGTTCTGAAAATTCACCAAGAGCATAAAGATAAACAAACAAACTATAAAAAAGCGGAGGGGAATTACCTATCGGTGGTACTATAGAAAATTATTACATATTAATGAAAAAGTTTAGAACTTTAATAATTAAATGTGTATAAAGTTTACCAATAATCGTATTATTTTTTTAAAATCTACGCTGAATCCCACTTTACCTTTATTTATTTTATTTCCCAAAACAAAAAAAAACAAAACAAAACAAAACAAAAACCCAGACACAGGTTCTGTTCAACATACAGACAGAATTTGAGTCACCGCACAACCATAATTCAGATTAATCAGTAATTAATGAACTCAAACGCATCAAATTAACAAAAATGAAACAGATTAATACATGAAAAAAAAAACTAAAATAGGAAAAAGCATGTGACCTAGTGCGATATATAGAGAGGGGAAGAGGGAGACAATTAATGCTTTGTTTTTAGGGAAGCAATGTAATTTTCCGTTGGTTTTCCTCCTTGTTTTCTCAGCAACCAAACGGGATGGTAAAACAATAACACCAAACATAGAGGACTATATACTTTACCTAAAGTTTTTAGTGAATCATGGTATGGATGGGAAAAGAAATTCCACGCCGGCGATGTAAAGATCTTCCGAGGAAGAATGTTCTCCTTTGAGGAATCCTAGGGCATTCAAACAAGTCTAGAGAGAGAGAGAGGAGAGAGGAGAGGAGGCAGAGGTGGAAGTAGCTATAATTCTAGTATTGCCTTGCAGACTAAGGAAAAGAATATAGATTGACCCGAGGTCGTTTCTAGTTTATTATCGACCTTTAAAAATTAAAACCCAACTAACAATGCAAAGCACTCGTGGCCCTCGTGTATACCATTTTTTTTTTTTTCCCTGAAATTTTTTAAACATAAATTAATTTTTGTGATTTTAAAAATTATATTTTGTCTTTTTAAGTTTTAATGGCATAATAGATGAGACAATTTATTAATAAATTAATTAATAATTTATAAAATATATTAAAATTATTGTGACACCTTAATTGTTTAATTAAATAAATAAAATAAAATGCATGCTAAAATATAATCTAAATGAAAATTATAAGTATTGTTGCTACTAAATCATAACAATGTGATTAATATATCATTTGGGGTCAACTTACAATAACTATGGAATTATTAAAATATTTGAAGTCATAATGGAATTAGGGGAAAGGTAAGCTTAAATGTGGCATTTCCAGCCAAGACCACTTGTATAAGTTTAAATGTGGCATCCCCAGCCAAAGCCACTTGTAGAAAAATTGAAGAAATAAATGGTGATTCACGTTAGGGCTAATGGTGAATCACCCCCTTAGGTTCTAATTAAAAAAGAGGGCTGGGATAGTGACTTGGGTTGAAAACAAACAAGAACAAACCAGCAAGTTAGAGGAGTCACGGAATCACGGCAATTAAAAACAACAGAAAGAAAATAGTAAAAGGTAATATTAAGTACGTTATATCTTTGAGTTATTGTAATATATTTTATGTATGTTTTGAATTATCATAATTTATTTAATGTAATTAATGTTTTATAAGTTATATTAATATTTCAATTACATTGATTATTTTCTGAATTCTATTTGCTTAAATTGAAATTTATGGATATTATTGTTTAAATTTTAGGAATTATTTGACAATAGTTCTATAAATAATTATTTTTGTAAGTACCAACACGGAAGTCTCATGTCTTGAGAGACTTAAATAAACTATTGGATTTTTGGTCACTTTGCAGCTTTCTTTTTATTATGGATCCATTGATCTCTGTTTTGATTTGTCATTTTGGTGACATATGTTATGTTTTGTACTGTGATTATGATTAGTTTGCTTATATGATTTATGAATTAAAATGTTGTTGTTTAAACTATTTATTTATTCAATCTGAATTGTTCACTATTTTAGCCTAAATAATTATCCACGGTGATTTTTATGCCGTTATGCTCTTAGTATAATATTTTTCATTCTGTCATGTGCTTATAGCTGTTATCCCCTTTCAGGTGATGAAATTTAGCGAGATCAAGATTGGGAATAAACCATAGTTTTTGTTTTTATTTTATTCTATTTACTATCTGTAATCCTGATCAAACTCTTCTAATTAAATAAAACTCAAATAAACGTTTTAATTTTAATAAACTTGTTTTTTTTTTTTGTACCCATTTATTTTATTTTATTTTATTCACTTGCGCTATTAATATGTTAGTAATGGGCGCCCATGTGGCATGACCATTAAATTTGATTTTGAATCCTTATCCAAATAGGTTTTGATTTTGAAATCAAACCTATTTAGGATAACCACTCTTGAAACAGACGTTATCAGTTTGAACTGATATAGATAGATATAATATATATTAGATATTATCTGTATCTTAATTGATATGGATAGATATTATAATATATTAAATATTTGTTATATGGTTATGGGTAATCTAAGAGAAAAACAACGTTGAGTCTGTTTCAACCCATACACTGACTCTCTCCCAAAAAAATACAACGATCAAGTCTTTGACACTGTGGTTAGTGTGGGTGATATTCAATCTGTGATATCACTCCACTGCTGGGTTGGCTCATCAAGAAGTTTCCTGGAAGCACGTGATTTATCCAAGAAGGTTCTATCATCAAGAAGGTATGATCTGATCATTTTAATCCGCTGCATATTCTGTGTTTTTTTTTTGTTTTGATTTACATACAGAAATTGTAGAACTATGTTTTTATTATCACAACGCTTAACCCCTGGGTACCGAGGTTGAGTCATGACAAAAGTGGTATCAGAGCTTTTACAAAAAATAAATAAATAAATAATAAAACAGCTTAGTTGGTCCAATGCGATTAAATCGTTTTATAAAAAATTGTAGGCTAAGTTTTACTGTGTTGTAAGGAATGGCAAGTTTGGTAGAGTTATTCTGGTGCAAGCCTCCTATAGCCCACCTTGTCCCGAATCTACTAAAGGGGTGGGAAAATTCAGAAAGTATCGTCAGACAAGCCCACCCAGGACTTGACTGGCTCATGGGGAGACCTGTGTACCTACAGGTTGACCCTAATGAGAATTTTTGGTTTTGGAGACTTAGTCGTAGCAGTACACGCGAGAGATACATTAGACTAACCCATGTTATTGGTCTTATGCCAGATCTAGGACATCCGTACTTTGTGGTTGCACATTTGCCCTTGGGCTTTGCTGAGAGGAGAGGGCACACATACCCCAGTAGCCACATACGTACTACGACACCTCCCTCACAGCACATTATCCATGTCCCAACTATGGATTTCACTGATAACGTGACATACTTGGAGGTACCTGTACAGATTACTGGGAAGGAGTTCTGAAGATACGATCACGGTGTTCCTGTCTATATGGTCCAGGTTACATGGCATTGTTTTAAGATAGAGCATAGTGGCTGGAAGTTTGAGTCATTTATGCAGAGTGAGTTACAGGGTTGTTTCATGACCTAGTCTTTCTGAGCCAGTTCTCGTGGTTGCTTAACGGTCCATTTTAGACGTTCGACCAGGAGGCTTTTTTAAATTAACCATGATTAGTCTGATCCTTATTTTTGTATTAGTAGGATTAAACATTAACTCCTGACTACTATATAAGTATGTGTACTACTACTACTATATTTGTAGTAAAGCTAGTATTATATATATATATATATATATATAATACTTTATAAATGTGATGCCACGCTTATTAAATTCTTTCTACTTAAATTTACTTTGTAGTAATGGCCAATGATGGTAACAGAACCGGGTCGTCAGTTAGCGGAACAAAGTCAATGGAAAAAATTATGGGAAGAGCAATTACCAGTTTTCTACAGGCCTTGCAAACCAACACAAATAATGGAATGCCCAAATGGCGAGAATAACCAATTGCGTTAAAACAATTCCAAGATTTGAAACCCACCACATTTACCGGCAGTCCAAACCCACTGGTAGCAGAAGCTTGGGTTAGGGATATGAAGAAGATTTTTCGCGTGCTAGCTTGTACAGAAAGACAAAAGGTAACTTTTGCCACGTTTACCTTGAAAGACGATGCACAAGAATGGTGGCTTCTTACCCTAGAAAAAGAAGAAATCGTAACCTAGGCAAGATTCTTGGAAATATTTTACGAAAAATACTTTTCAAATTCACCACGAGAACAAAATGCATCGAAATTCATACACCTAAAGTAAGAAACAATGACGGTGGTCAAATATAAAAGCAAGTTCACGCAACTGGCTCAATTTGTGACATATGTCATTCCTATCGAAACTCAGAAAGCTAGGAAGTTCGAAGGCGACTTAGATGATGACATCAGAAACAAAATTGAGGTTCTGAAAATGCCAACCTACGCGGGAGTGGTGGATCGAGCATATATCGCAAAAAAAAGGATTAAAGCCTTGCATTCCGGAAAAATGAGCCAAAAGAAACGATTTTGAGAAAAAGACAACATAAGATCTAGTGTTGCACCCTCAAATAAGGTAAATACGGACTCAACTAGTTTAGGCAATCAAGGTCTTACTAACCCCAAAAGTGACATTATTCCAAATTGTCCTACTTGTGAGAGGACTCATTGGGGACGATGCCATCGAGACACGAGAGCATACTTTAAATGCGGGCAAATTGGCCACTTGCTACGAGATTGTCCAAAGTTTTTCAATCCTATAGCAGGCCCCTCTAAACCAACCCCAAAACCCACAGTACCTGGAGGAGTGAGGAAAGACCAAAAACGCCAAGGAAAAGCAAAAGCCTTGGTGCTTAGAAACTTGGAAGTTATCGAGAACGTAGTGTCAAATACACTTTCTATCTGTGGTCATTTAGCTCATGTTCTCTTTGACTCTGGTACAAGTCATCCTTTGTTGCACCATACTTTGCTTCCAAGTTAGCATCAATACCAGAACCATTAGGATATATATTATGTGTCATTTCCTTCTAGTAATTATGCCCTTGGTACTGAAGTGTACAAATCTTGTGATATATCCTTAAAAGGCGAAACCTTATATGTAGACTTGATTTCCCTCTACATTAGTAACTTTGATGTAATCTTAGGAATGGATTGGCTAATTGTCAACCATGTCTCTATCGATTGCAAAGCCAAAAAGGTCTCCCTTCAGTTACCAAACCAACTCGAGCGTGCCTTTGATGGAACTGGGATTTTCACCTCTACATGTGTTGTATCCTCCATGATAGCCTAACGATTTCTAAGAAAGGGTTGTTATGATTATATCTATTGTATGATCGATACTCAACAAGAAGTCCACATACTTGATGCAATCCTTGTGGTTAGGGAATTCCCGGATATCTTTCCTGAAGACCTACCTGCTACCCTAGTTGACCGGGAAATCAAATTCACTATTGAAACCGAACATGGTACACAACCAATATCAAAAGTCCTTTACCGTATGTCAATGACGAAATTAAAAGAACTGAAGACCCAACTCTAGGAACTACTGGACAACGGCTTTATCTGATCAAGTACCTCACTATGGGGAACTCCAGTACTGTTCGTAAAGAAAAAGTATAGCACGATGAGGTGATCCATCGATTACTGGAAGTTGAATAAGGTCACTATCAAGAATCGGTACCCCCTACCACAAATTGATGACTTGTTTGATCAACTTCAAGACGCCCAACTATTCTCAAAAATCGACTTGTGTTCTGGCTATCATCAACTAAAAGTCAAATGGAAAACATCGAAAAGACTGCATTCAGAACACATTACAAGGCACTACGAGTTTCTCGTCATGCTTTTTTTTCGTCACAAATGCTACAGTGGCCTTCATGGA